AGGAGAAATCTGGAGATCCATAATACCTCCTGGTATATACCCACCATGAGTAGTCACATGATTTCCTGATGACATCAAAACCATCTCTGAAGTGATTGTGAACTGTATGAGTCAGGAATAAGACCGTGGGCATCCATTTACTCTCCTGGAGCACTTACATTCTGACTGAAACAGTATATCTTCCGACTGCTGTCCTCTGGGTCAGGCATCTCTCCATCACGATTAGCGCTCATGAGAGCCACCAGCTCTTTTGGAACGGATATCTGAAAGGTCACCCAACTATAAGCAATGCAGGCAGCACATAGGATTACACGACAGACTAGAAGCAGTGGTAACAAAGTGATAACAAAGAGTAGCCCAGATTGTTCTGTGGTTAAGTCATCTCCGTCAAGTAGAATATAATGTATGTGGAAAATTTTGTCTTGAAGATCGGTAATATTTAATTAAGCTGAAGGATTACCTCCACCAGAAGTTAAAAGTCTCACTTTCTTCAGACAACTGAATTATAATGTCATATTGCACATCTTGCTGTTTGATTCCTTAAAACAATCAAACTATCAAACTGCAAAGATCCCCTAACTACATAGCAAAAGATATACTTAAAGGAATACATAAGAGTAATTTCAAGAATTTTCATGCTACAGCACTCTTTGTTGTCTTACTTCTTGCCATTCTTAATTTTAGGACTTATTTCTTTCTAACTACTGTATTTCTTTCTTTTGGAAATAGATACGTGTGAATGAAAAGACTTGATATAATATATATATATCAGAAAACATAAAAGCTAGAGAAGTACCACAGGAAAGATAAAAAGTTCTTGACTCTTACATTAAGCTAAAAATCAACATTCTCTGTTTTTATTTTGGGCCACATGCTGGCAGCTACAAAAAAATCCCCCCAAAATGAGTGAATATAAATTCTCCCATTGTTGCAGTTGTCTTTAGTTAAGATACATATTAACTTAGGTTCATCTACCTCTGCATAGTAGGTTAGTTTCACGGCAGGTGTGTCTTGGCATGGAAAGATGGCTCTGCAGTGGGTAGCCTAGAGAGGGAGAAAAAAGTTATAACAGCCTTTCTAATGCAGAGGACTAGAAATAAATCAACTAATGTGTTATTGTGGAAATCCACACAGCTCTTCCAGAGAATTCATTATCCACAAACCAATACTTCTATCACTTACAGCTGACAGTAGTTTTCATAGTTAAGGCTTTTGTAAAAGAAATAATGGTAGGTAAGACTGATCAGCAGCCACATATATTGGTTACAAAGTAGTGTATGTTCTTCAACAACTGGAGAGCGTAAAGCACTTACAGAATTATTAAACTGCAAACATGTAAAAAATCTCATCAGTATCCTGGCATTAAGTGTTTCCCTTTAGGACCTTTGACATGCACAATTAGAAGTTATGGGCTACTGTACCTTCCCTTAGCAGACTTCCTCTCCAGCTCTGTAGAAACTGAGGAAAATAATAGTGGTATGTAAACAAGCTTAAAAAAAAAAAAAAGTACTCAACCTGACACTGGCTGAAGAGAAATGGGTGTTTCTTTCCAGAAGTTTGCTCTGGAGTAAACCACTGGAGAGCTGAAGACTTTGGAGAGCTTTCAAAAGAGATTTCAACAATTGCTTCTTGTCCCCTGTGTAATAAAGAACATAGACTGTTTTGACACAAATCCTGATCACACTGAAATACCTCTGCAAAGACTTCTGGAAAATAGGTCTGCAGCACTGTCTCAAAAGCATCAAAAATGAGAACAAGTAGCATACTAAGCACAACTTTTCCCTTCAAAGTATGATAGTAAAAATTAGATAGCTTATTTCAATTTTTATGTCAAAACACTTCTATTATTGTTTTTACTAACCATAAACTTTTCCTTTCCTCTCTTCAAGGAGAACATGGACTTTTTCTTTGAACTATTTGGGCCAACTACATATATATAGTTCTATCACAACTATCTAACACTGCACATATACATATAAAAAATGCCCAAACAAAAAAGTGCAAAACCTTACATAGGAAAACACAGAATGTGTATTCTGTAAATAAAAAAAATTTAGATTCTGTTACTGATGTTAATGTTCTGTAAGTATGATTCTTAAGCAGAAAAAAAAGTCTGCAAATTTTCAGTAATTACTGAAAATCCCTATTAACAGTAGGGTTAAGAAGAAAAATAAAAAAATGTTCAAATTTTTTTCAGGGTTTCAGAATTCGTGTAAAGTGGAAACTAACGGTTCTGTGAAAGACAGGCATCAACTTGCTCACAAGAGAACACACACAAACCTGACACATTCATACTCTTATTTATTAAAACCATATTTTAACCACACACCAAAAGCACACAGAAGTACTTGCTTCTATTCTCAGAAAGTTCCAGGTTACACATGCAACTTTCTGGAATAAACAATCCAACCATAAATCAGAACAAACTTCAGCTAATCAGAGGAGCTGGACATCAGATAAGCTGACCAGGTACACATATCTGGTTTATAACCAGCATTCCAAAGTACATATTCAAAAAGAAAAGAGAAAATACTTCACATTACCATAAAGACATATTGCTTTCTGAACAGTCAGACTGTCAGCTGTAACTCCTACCCTTTCTTATCGCTCTTTTATTGATACTTACATGGGGGACTATATCTCACACAAAATTATACATTCTTACGATCACAACTCATAACTCTAACTCCCCTTTTTTTCTTACAAGGAAATTTAGCACTAAAAAGAAAAAAAAAAGGCATCTGAAAGTCACACAAAAGAAACAGACCTATGTTTTTGTGTGGACTGTTTGCTCAAGTATGTAATTTGTACAGTTTCATATTAGATCGTAAGTGCTTCCCAGAAGGGACAGCTATTGTACAACATTCCTTTCTCTTTCACATTACATGTGTTTCTAAATTGCATTAATTCAAAGTATAACATGAATAAAAAAATTAGAGACCAGACAGTTTTTAGAGGTAGTAACTAGTTCTGAAGCCCAAAAAGTAAGAAGCAACTTAGTATGTAACTGTATTCAAACAAGGGAACTTTCTCATACAGTCACAGCTTTGGCACCATAGAGGGGTAAGATACTATGGAGTTACAATATATAAAGCAAACTACCAAAAAGCATCTTGTAATTTGGCAACAACCTTTAAATTCATGGAATTTAAGAGGTAGATTATGGTTAGTTAATTCTCGATCATGCTGAGAAAACTCAAGTACCAGTTTTCAGGGACTTAGTGCAGTCAACACATTAAAACTTTTATTATTTGAAAACATACTTCTATCTAATCATAGTGGTAACCCAAAGTTCTACAGAAATGCAGAGTCAACCCTTATGTAAAAGAATGGCAAACAGGGGCTGTAACTCCGTAGGCACTACACTGTAGCAATTCTGAAAAGACAGAATTCAGGTAGTTGAAGCAGAAATAATATTACTGATGAGAAGCACTGGAAAAATTTTGATACATTACACGTTATTTTGCTACTCAGTTTAGCAAGTAATTTTATACATGATATATGATCTGGGAGTAGGTAAAAAGACTCCCAAAGTTTTGGCTAACGAAAATCAAATATCAAATTAATCTACAAGATCATATCAAATGAATGCAACACCCTAATTTAAGTCCCTTTGCAAGCTTTACAGAACAACCCTACAGGCAGACAAGCAGCTTATACAGTGCATTTTGGAAACTACCTAAAGGAACAGACAAAAGTGTATACCTTCTTAGTTCCTTAGGAAATGTGATTTCCAGGGGGGTCCCCTTGAAACTGTGCTTTTCCCCAAAAGCAAATTGTGCGTCCTGTCCATTTACAGTCACTCTAAATACCTGTACATCTCTTGTATCCAAGACCTGCGATGAAGAAAACATTACATACCCGTTAAATAGTGTAATAATAAATGCAATATTTATGAAATCTTAAACACAAGTCTCTCCAAAGGAACAAGTATTTACTAAGTAAAACCAGAAAAACTGCCTAACTGTGTTGACCACTGGGAACAAGCATTTTAAGAGAGCAGCACTGAACTGGGAAAACTGGAGGGGAAAGAGGAAAAAAACCAACTTCTGATCATGGAAGCAGAAACAGGAGTTTACCAAGTGAACTACGAAGGTAGCGGGCTTCACAGTACTGCAATGAAGTGTAAAACGATATAAAAGCCTCTGCCAAGGCTTTCATCGTGGAACAAGCCACTGTAAATCCAGGCTTTCACTCAACAGAAGATGATCTAAATAGTGCAACACTCCCATTTGTAGCTCGAGTGAAGTGTTACTTTTTATTACTTACAGGATTAGGCTTTTTTCTTAAGAAAATAAGTGCCCGCCGCATAAGAATTTTACGGAGTCAGCATGAGAAGAAGGCCATAAACCTCAAACTTCACATACAGAGGAGCTAATGAAGTTCATACTCTTATTTGCAAAAATAACCGAGAAAGCAGCTGGCATAACGAAACACACAGGTGAAAAAGCCCTAATCGTAGTTTTCCACTGATTTATTCCCATCTTTTTGGCAACACCCTATTCGCCGTTTCAACGAGAAAAGACACATTTCTGCTCTTCCTTTGCCCACCGCGCCGGCTCTGGGGGCCAGGCGGGAACCGGGGGCTGCGAGGCGCTGTCAGCCGCCGAGCCCGGGGGTCCGGGGAGGGCCAAGCGGCGGGAGGGAAGGAAGGAAAGAGGGAAGGACCGGGACGCCGGCCGTGGGAGGGGAAGGACGTGGGAGACAGACGAGGGAAGGCGGCACCGGCGCGGGCTGCGCGGGGGTCTCCCCGCACCCCCTGAGCCCCCCCCGCCTCCCGCCGTTACCAGGCAGCGCAGCGCCTCGCGCTCGGCGCGCGCGGTGAGAGCGGCCGTGCCCCGCAGCGCCCGCGCGCCGAAGTCCGCGCGGCAGCGCAGGTGGAGGTGCCGCGTGAGGCAGCACGCGGGCGACGAGAACGAGCTCGGGTCCGCCATCGCTCGCGCGCCGTCTGCCCGCCCCGCGCGCCCGCGAGCAGCACCGCGGCCGCCCCACCCACCGCGGGGAGGGAGCGGGGGCGGCCAGCGCGGCGGCCCCTGGGAGGTGTAGTGCCGCTCTCTGGGCGCCGGGGGGGAGCATCGCGCCGAGAACTACAGCGACCGTGGTGCAGTGCGGAGGGGGTGGGGCGGGCTCGCCGAGCAGCGTGGTTGGCCCGAAAGGACGGCGTCAGCCGACTGCCGGGCTGCGAGCGACCAACACAATGTGGGCACTGCTGCGAAACAACAACTTGTACAGTTCCTCGTTAGTATAGTGGTGAGTATCCCCGCCTGTCACGCGGGAGACCGGGGTTCGATTCCCCGACGGGGAGGTACATCTCTCTTTTTCTCACTGCATATACCCCCCAGGCAGAAACAGATTTTTGGGAAATCAAAGATGTTCTCGCGCTGGTATTGGAAGAGCACCACATCTCTAAAACAGAAAGAACAGAGCAAAAGTTTTGGGGGCGTGGCTGCCCGCTGCCCCTGCACCAGGCTGGGGTGGCTGCAGGGTCCCGGAAGCTCAGGAAAAGTATTTCCATATTTAAATGGATCAAACAGCTGAACAGGAGGATCAAGCCTTTCAAAAACATTCACCCTTTTTCTTAAACCAAAATGGAAAAAAACGAAACCCAGCCTCACCTGACATAGAAACAACGGGAAGAGGGGCAGGTCAAATGGGCACAGCAGAAGAGGGAATGTGGAAGGCCAGAGGCGTTATGACTGCAGCCCATCATTTTAACTCTCGAAACGAGAACTTTGGTGACCAGAAAGCCCCGAGGCTGCACTGGACCCTGACCCAAGCCTGTACATCCAGCCAGCAGGCCAGTGCCATCTGCTGCACTAGCCAAGAGTACATTGCAGAACAGCTGTGAGGCTCCAGCATCCCTGCTTGCCTTTACTTAATATCACTGAAAATGCTTTCTTAGGCACCCTGTTTTTCATAATCTTTCTGCCAAAAGGTACTATTTATTTATTTATTTATTCACAGTTCAGCACAAGAATACTAAAAGAGACCCCCCTGTCTGTGGGAGGTCAGCAGATACCAAACAGTAAATGTGATCACTCAAAATTTCTCTTTTTCCAAGTCAGGAAAGAGCACTATGGCTGACTGCACATAAAAGAGGAGAGGAATTAGGACCTGAGAGAGGAGGCCAGGACACCCAGCTCCAAGGAGTGCAGCCTGGTGTTCAGAGCAGGAGGTTGGTGGGCCTTGCTCTGACCCTGGGTTTGTGCACTCAGACAGTTTTAATAATACGAATTTGATGCCCTGAGTCAGACACTGAAAGCAAATTGTTCTGTACCATGGGTGACCTTGCATCAGCCACACAAACAGAGCAGCAAGCACTCAAGTGAGGACATACACAAGAAAAATTTTCTCTGTGTAATAAGAGCCAAGAGCCAATTTGACAGCAAAGTCTGGCAACAAAGGGCAATTACTCTTGACAAAAACATTGCTGCAAACCATGGGCATGTAATGGCGAATGCAGAAGCTGACCTTTGCCATCCTTAGAAATTGGTTCCTGTGCACGCACAGCCATGGGAGTGGTGCACCAGGAGCTGTGGGTAGCTGCAGGCACGGGAGGGATGTAAGGCTTGAGGTATAGTGCAAGACCAAAGGTGCTTTCTGTGGGCTCACCAGCTGATGGTAAAGCCCATGGGCCTCTGGAGAGCATCCCACTGCTCTAGCTGTACCTGGATGTAAATCTGAGATGGGAGTGTAAGAAGCATATGAAAAAGAGGAGATGTGACATGGAGCATCATCTGCAGTGACACCCAAGAACTTTGCATAAACTGGCAAGACTAGAGCTACATGCAGACAAGCCCAGATAAACTAAGTCAGGAGGGGAAAGGTGTTTCAGTGGGTCTACTGCTGTGTGTATTAGAAAAAATAACCACCAGATATTTCCTTTCGTGATTTCTGAATTTACTGCCATGCCCACTTCCCTTTCTCAAAATCCACATATACATGTCATCAGAAAACCAAGGAAACTTATTTTGTTTAGTAGGCAGTTTATTTCAAAGCAGAGGTCAGATCATAAAATAAGATGCAAGAACCATTTAGTAGTTCATACGTGTTGGCATCCAGTCAAGCAATTTCAGCTGTCATAAAACAATTAGGGATTAGAAAAGCAATTAATTCAAAACAGAAATATGCTGACAGTGTTTTGTAGTCATAAAAAAAGAGTCTTGCAAGCAATTCCACACCTGCTTATTTGTGGTTCTTGTTTTCAGATTTAGCTTTCATAGTGCACAGGCAACTACCCAAGAGGCAAAGTTTTGCTATAGACATACAGTTTCTAAAGTCCTAGGAAGTCATTCTCATTTGTGCCTGGGCAAAGGTGAAAGGATGAGGAACAAGGAGCTCAGGGCATTGAGCAGGGTTTTACAAGGTCAGCCTTTCTCCACCTACACGGTACTTTGTTCTCATCTAAGTCTCATCCAGGTCAGCTCAACCCAACGTCTTTCCCCTCTCCCACAGTACCAAATCCTTCCCACACACCCCTACGGTGCTGTCACACCACACCTGGCAGTGTGGAGCCAGCACAGCTGGAATACCAGCAAGCCCAGACACAGCTGCCTGCACAACTTCAGACTTCCCTGAGAATTCTGGTGTGGTCCAGGATGGATTCCGCATGGATAAAGTCCACAGGAAGCACAAGGTGAGGGATCACTGTCAGCAGGCTTCCTGCAGTCTTTGCAGAAAGGAAGTTTGAATGAGGGCTAGCACTAATGAAATCTGGAGGAGCAAACACTTCTGTATTGATAGCAGAAATCTGACCCTGATTTCTTCTTCAAATGCCTGTAGAATTATTCGCACACAGCTTTAATCTGCATCTCTTTCGATGATTCTAGTCCTTCCACTTGGCTTGCCATCATGTGCGATTTGTTAACTTATCAAAATCTCAGGAACAGCCAGTATCATGGCCGGGAGAGAAAGCTGTGGCCAAACTAGCAAGATAAGATTAGGTTGGAAAGTAAATTGCCAGTTGCAACCTTGCTGAATGCATAGGGTGATATCAAAGCAATGCGGAGGGGAGGTGTGGGCTGGAGGGTCTGCCTGAGCATGTTAATGGCATTTTGCTAAAGCATCTGTTTTAAGCATGTTCAAGCCCTGGGGACTGTGTAACTCCATATATTCTGTCCTCTGTGTGTTGTATTCATAAGTGCATTTTATATGTGATTAACTCTGCCAAACATTTTAATTAACCTTTACAAAGATTTTTGGAAAGCAAAATATTGCTTGCAAATGTTACAATCTGCTTTATGTCATTAGTAATGATGAAACACAAACTTAGGAGAACTGAGTAGCTTGGAAGTTTTATATTTGTGGTTACTCTAAGGGCAAGGAAAAGAAGAGAGGCCCCCCTTCTCAAACTTAAAACTACAGCAATAAATTCGTGTTTTAAGGCTAGTTAAAAATAAGTTTTCAGCGATTTTTTTAGGCAGTTTCAATGGGGAACTAAAAAAGAGCCAGATACTGAAAATCTGCTAATTGTGGTCTCACTTGGAAGTAAACTAATCAATAAGTAGGGAGATCAGGTAGAGCAGATTAAAAAATGTCACTATAAATGCTCATCAATGGGTAATAGCAGGAATAGACAATGGCAAATTGTTCACAAGCTTTTTTGCAGGTCAAGACATCCAATGTAAGCATGATGAACTGACAATTTAGGAGGATACAAGCCCTTTGCTCCACCTTGATTATTCTATGGAGACTCCTAGCCATAAGACTTTTGGCTCATAAGAGAAGAGGGGAATGTGTTTGTCCCTCAGAAGGTGCTGAAGCAATTTACACCAATAGCTGCTGTATGCTGCTGATCCCTACACATGGTGAAACAGCTGATCATATAAATACAAAAAGCAACTTAAAAGAATTTAATCTTTATTTGAGAAGTTTTAGCTTGTCATCATTAGCATCCACTAACTGTTGGACCCAAGGACCCCAACGAGCTCTGCAGTCTTCTCTCTCCACTGGGGAGTCTGGTTGCCAGCAGCCCTGACCAGCTCTGTGATGGTGCCAGCCTTGGGTCAGCTCCTGGGAAAAGAGCTGCATGAGGATGACAGCTGGACCATGGCTGTCCCCAGTTGCTGCCACCATCCCTGCCTTGCTCTCCATGTGCAGGTGCTGTGGTGCTGTGCCCTTGTTGGTGGCAGCATGGCTCCACTGCCCCTGAGGAGCCCCAGTGCTGCAGCTCCCTGGCACACCAACAGTGGCAGAGAGGGATATGGGTCTGGAAACACGGCGTGCCATCGAGGAGCTGGCAAATGAATCCTTTCTTTGAAAATTTCCTATGTCTTTACACAGGTCTGAGTCTTCAGGTGCTGCACATTACTGCAGCTCCACTTGGGTCAGCGGAACAATACTAATATAAACCAGATGGGATGTGACCTACCCGCCAATTAGAAAATACTCAGGCCACCATCAGGCATTTGATCCCAATCCATGCTGTGGTTTTATGACTCCTCCAGACTAGCCTGGCATCTGTCCACATTAGCTTAAAATAAGGGTAAATTAGATGTCTAATTTTTCTCCAGTAGCTCTTAACATCTTAATACTTCAGCATAATGATTTACAAGGAACTGCTCAGTTTTGTACATGAATGACCATTAGTGGATCCAGTTTCATGGGACATACAGGGTGGAAAATATTTTAAAGCAATATATTATTGGTAGTTTATCCTGCATTTATTTTTTAGCAGCTTGAGAACGTCTATTTCTTTCTTTTCCTGAGCAAGACAGCTCCTCAGTCCCATCTTCCCTGTAAGACCCAACAACCACGTCATACAATTGTATTTCTATCTGTCAGATGGTCTGTTAAATATAATTTGCATCATCCTTCTTTACATCTGGAGGGAGCTTGCTTTGTATTTTTTTTCAGTTTCCCCTTTCTTCTGATTGTTAAAACACTTTTGCACAGGCAGTCTTCCTTTTTTTTAACTTCCATGTTGCTAGACATGCACACAGCTTGCACCACCAGAACAATTAGCCTCAGCTTTTAGGTTATGTTTTTTAGACTGTGTTTAAGGTACTATAGAGACCTGGTCTTCTGGGTCACTCATATTATTTCAAAAGTAAAGCAGACAGAAATCACAATACACATACGAAAATGTTAACTTGCAACTTAACTAACTTTAAAATTGCCACTTGAATGGGCCATATTTGTATTTCTACACAGATGAGACACAAGTCCTTTTTGTCATTTCTAGGTGTGCAGTGTGTTTTCTTCTCCAGAGGATGTTATTTAACTGTACTCAGTGATCTGGCAACATCAGGGTGTCATCATGACGGGCTCAGGTAAAAATAATTCCTGCCTCAAAACCAAAAACCTAGATGATGCACAGTTAAATCCTCTGTTAATCTGATGCTAAATATCTATTACACCCCTTACCCTAGTCAGCATTTTGCTTTTTCTCAGATTTTTTTCTTTGTAAATGTTTTGAAATCCCCTGGATGACAACACTTCCTCTTTTTGGTCCTGTTACTCACATTTAGCAGCAGTGTGTTACAGCATACTCCTCTATCTGAGAACCCTAGAGCACACAAAACTTACTATATAGACAGAATTGTTGTATATGCTTTCTATGTACGTATGGCTATTATTAGCTTCATAATCTTCTCAGTCATCGATTTTTAAAAACATCTGCTTCTGGGTGGTTGGGTCCTTTTTCCATGAGGTACCAAACAAACAAGTTCATACTAACCTTTAAGAATCCAAGAATTAACATTGAAACAAAAGAGATAGTATATATGTTTCACAGAAAGCATGTTTTTAAGCACTGCATTTGAATAGGGTGCAGATGCTCATCTTCTGGCAGAATAAAGAATAAACTCCATGATTACAAAAGGAATGTTTGTTTCCGTTGTTTAATATCTAAAGGTTTTCAAGATGAGATTTCATGTTTGTTTCCATAGGATTCAGCTTTGAGAGGTTTTTCACTGGAGGTCAATACAAATTTGCCCCTGGATAAACTCAGGGTATTGTTTTAGGGCTAGGAGTGTTGAGACATACCAGTTGTTGATAATTTTCTTAGTAATTTTACTAGTGGCTCGTTAAGTGCTGTGTTTTGTCTTTAGTATGAGAAGCATATTGATAACACCCTGATGTTTTGGTTATTGCTAAGTAATGTTTATCCTAAGTGTAGGGCTCTTTTGGTTTCCCATGCTCTACTAGTGAGCAGGTGCTCCAGAAGTGCAAAACAGCAGATAAGGAGGCTACAGCTGTCAGCAGAAGCTGCAACTTGACAGGATAAGAATGGTGAATGGCCTCCCTGCATGGACACAGAGAAAGAATCCAATAAGGTGTTAGAAGACCCTAGGCCAAAAATTGCCATTAGACCAAGAAGGGCGTGTGACAAGCTTGTGAGGAGTAGGTGTGTAAGTGATATGGATATAATTGCCCAGGGATTTATTTGCTCAGGGTCCCTCTCTGAAGTCATCCAGCTCAAACCTGGTGCTGTACCACCTTATTAAGTCATTTATTTTATAAATCGGATGGCTGAAACTCTTCTATGAGAAACCTGTGGTTGAGCCTGAAGGAGAAGGAAGTGCACAGGAGAGTGAGTGTGTGTGTGAGCAAGGAGTCAAAAGGGGCATTCATCGGCTGGCTCACTGTGAAGGGGCTCTGGTCCCACCAGTGGAAGTCTCGGGTGGTTGTGCAACTCCTTGAATGGTGCAAGAATGCTGGGGCAGCAACTCCTCATTTAACAGGGGTGCTATTAAATTGCACCTAGATCTGGTGGTGACTTTCACCAACAGATGCAGAGAAAGACATCCATCACCTTCTGCTTCCACACCAGGCCATGGCTTCTGGTCAGTTTAACACACAGTAATTGGGCTGCTTTTAAGCTCTTTGTCAGGCATACATCTGTAGATCAGTTGGTTGGATTTCTCTTAGCTAGCTTTGGGGTTTTTTGCACTTAGATTGGCTTCTTGGAGGGAGATGGTGCAGCGCTTTTGAATATTTGTCCCTCACATCCAAATTCAGAGCAGGAATGCAAACCAGAGCAAGAACACAGGTAGAAACAAAATAATTGTGCAGAAAAATACTATATTACACAAAGACTTCATCAAAAATCAGAAGTCTCATACATCTCAACTACAGATGTCTTTACTCAACAGCGGGAGCAGAGAAGAAATATTTACTAAACAGCAAAGGCTTCTATTACAATTTTGGAAGAAAAACTTAGTCATATGGTTTCCTCTTTTCAGTAAGCATGATAGTATCTATAGTTTTTGACATTGCGGAGGCAATACTTATTTCTTCTGCCTGGTGTACTACAGTCACATCATCTGCAGCATTCTGTGGTTAATGCAGCACCACCCAATGGAAATTTTTGCAAACCACTTGATATTACATTTCTACCCCCTCTTATGCGTAGACTTGGAGTGCCATCTGAAAACTACTCATTAGAGCAATGTTTATATTACTATGCATGCTTATGTAATGTTGCCAGTCTCTCCAAATTTCAAAGACTTTGTGTCTGGCACATAAGCATCTCATATTTTTAAGTCTGGGTTTGCCTCTGTGACTCTTCTGCTAAGTTATGCCTGGCAGCAGCATTGGCTTCAACTTGTAGAGGCTAAGCTGAAAAAATGAGTTATTCTATGCCACTACTTAACACACTCTGCTTTATCACAGTAAGCAATAAAAGAGGTTTACTCAAACAATATCATGGAAGAGAAGAAAAAAAAAAGAGAGAAAAGAAACAAAAGCATTATCAAAAGAATCAAAGAGAAATGATTTCTCCAAAATCACCAAATGATAATGTGAGTCTTCATCACTCCTCAGTGAAGGGCTGTAAGGGTGTGAAGAGGAACTGCTTGTTTGCACTTTGTTGTCCTTTTTATTTCACAAACCCAGGTGTGTCTTTCCTTATCCTCATTTAAGCTACCGGTCAACAGCTGCAACGGCTTGCAATGCTCTTTCTTTAGTTGTCTCTCTATTCCTTTGCCCCAGAGATCTTGGAGCCTTTGCAGGAATACCCACAAAGCCTGCAGTGTTCTGGCCATAAAGGGAAGACTCCCAAAATAGATGTACTAGCACACTTCCCCCTTTGTCTGTAATGGAGATGCCACAAGTCTGAGAACAACTGTAGACGCTTACCACAGGCATAGCCAGCTTTTCACAACACAGGCAGCGATTTCCATACTTCTTGCATAGCTGTTTTTTGTCATGGATATTTCATAAGGCAGAAGTGTCTTCCCATTTCCCCCCAACTTATTGGATAACATGCAGTCGGTTAAACATGCTATCCAGGTGGCAGTCTCTTCACAAAAAACCTATGGAATATCCCATCCATCCAGGTTTCCGCACATGTAGAGTTCTCGGCAGAGGCATCCATCTCCTCTTGGCCCACCATGCATAACCTCAGCCTGATGTTGCTACAGCCCATAGATCAGAGTTGAAAACTTCGGCTGAATGAGAATAACCTTGGGGTACAGGTTATTATTATTATTAACCTTGCTGTTAAGAAATACTGCTTGTAACTGTTGGGACTCCTCTGAGGAGCAGGATCCTCTTGTCCTGAGCATGCACCAGGACACTTGGGCAGATACTGCACAGCCTGGACTGAAGAAATAGCATAGGTGGCTCTCTTTAGCAAAAGCTGATGTCATTTTGGCTCAAATATTCTCACTAAGAGGAAATAATAAGTCTGAAAGACCTCTTTCAGAAAATATGCTCAAATACATTTATTTTGCAAGTGCCTGACCTCTGGCTGAAGTCCCGGGGAGCCCATTTAGCTGTCTGGGATCTGGTTTCAGGCACTTCAGGGTGGCCAAGGGGTCTGTATCCCCTTTGTAGCTCTGGGAATTGGTATGCACCAGGACCAGTGGCAAGACCTTCCTTCACCCATGCCCTCTGTGAGCCAGGAGAGCAGTCAGCAATGAATGATTTGTAGTTTTGCATGCACTCCAGCTCCCCAGACTGGCATCTTTTATCTGTTAGGTGCCTCATTAGCAACAGCTGGGCTGCAGGCAGCACCATGTGGGTCTGGCAGCCACCCTCCAAGGAGCTCACAGACCCACTGAGCATTGGCCATCCCCAACCGAGGTGATTCTCCGAAGCACTGCACAGACCACAGCTGGTCTTGTGCAGGTATAAGAGCTTAAATCTTTCCCAGTATCCCTTCTGTCCTGCTTTTTAGAAAGCAGCATAAAGCCTTCTCAATATCATTCCACCCCCAGAATATAGAAAGCACAATTTCTACTGGGAATAAACAGATTTCTCTTTTCAGTGGTGGGGTTTTTTGTTTGGTTGGTTTTGGTTTGTTCGTGTTTTTTTTTTCCCCGATTCCCCTCATTAACTTACCAGCACCCCCTGGCAGGGAAAATTTTACCAGTCTATGGGCTGCCAGAAGGAGGACAAAAGTCTGCCTAGCCCCTCACAGAAATGAACAAATGAGCAAGCACAGGGAGGGGAGGGGAGGGGAGGGGAGGGGAGGGGAGAGGAGAGGAGCTGGCAGCAAACCTCAAACATGCAAATCCCTGTGCACACAAAGAGATGCTGAAGGTTAAATCACCCACTGGGGACTCATGCCCACCAATGATTGGAAAATGTCACCTGTACCTGTTGGTACAGGTGACATTTTCCAGCCATCAGTCCAGCTCATAGGCAATGCAGTGCTTGCCCTTCTTCCACTGCCAATATCCAGCAGGATTCCCCCCACCTCCCCAGTTTTCCTCCAGTTAATCTCTGGAGTACCCTTGAGTGTCTGAGACAGTCCATTGAGGGAAGTCTTGCTTTTAAATAAATACTTCCCACAAAACCCTAAAAAGGAGGAAGCAATATTGCCAGAAAAATACACAAAGTGATGCAAGAGATTCAGCTGGGTGTATTTACTTCCATTGCTAAAATGTGTAGCTGGACAATAGCCATGGCAGGCTTCATCCCAAGTAATATAACAGGTTGTATATCTCTATGAAGACATTGAAGAAAGTCCAGGGAATGTATTTTTAAACATTTTTTAAAAGAAATTTCTATCAAATCACAAGTGGTCTGGAGAAGATGAACTGGGAATGGTTATTTATTGCTCCTCATAAAGGGAGAGCTAGGAGGCACAGATGAAATTTTTGACAAACAGGAATGAAAAAGAAAGGAGTTTTTCATGCAGATGAGTTAAATGCAGCCATTTAAGCTATGAAATTCATTGTCACAGGATATCATGGACACTGAGACTATAAACATATTCAAAAGAGTTAAACAATTGTGAAGACTAGATCTAACAGTGACTTTAAAACATTTTTAAGTGGATGCAGCTTCCAGCACCTGAAATCTACAAAGTCCAGATTTCCAT